AGGTCAGGAGGCTCGCGTTGATGTTTTACGTCGTCAGTCATCTTCTACCCAAAATAACCTCCTACGGCATTTTGTTTTTGAGGTGCGGTTTGCCCCACTGGCTTTATAAGTACCCTGTTATCTTTCGCGATCTTTTTACAAAGCATCTCAAACTCATTTCTAGATCCCTCAATTTTCTGTGGGTTTGTAATCTTATCCCATGGGAATATTTAGTACTGTATGTAGTGGCACGCTAATTCAATTCCTGTAAAACATTCTCCAAGAAGATTTTATGTGATTTTTCCCATCTCTTACATCCTGCTCTTAGTAGGTGTCTTCCTTATTCATCCACCTGTTTTAGTGATAATCATATAAAGTCAAGCAATGAGGCTTACAGGCCCTCCTTTGTCTGATATTTCACCAGATTTAGCACAAACCATGAACTCGTTGCAGAAAGTCTGCGCAACATGCCAATCTAAACCGATAAAAATCACCATTGTATGTCATTGGTTTTGTGATGTTGCTGTCCGTTTCTTTCTCTCAGTTGTTATACTATATTTCGCATGAATTAACATAAAGTCTGTGTCTGCTGAAGGAGAGCTTACAACAGCATTCTACATATACATCAGATTGCCATATTTGTGTAAACCGATTAATCAACTCAGATAAATAAGCTTGATCAAATAGTTCGGACTGTACCAACGTAGCACTGACCCACACATGACTTTTGATAGATCGGCTGGCCTCTCAAATGAAATCAGACCTGCTGCCAGCGAGAGCAGAGCACACCGGTGAGGGGATATTTCCAATAACGAAAGCACACACCCCGTATGTGACCAAGGAGGGAGCTTGTTCAGCACACAGAAATTTTGTGTTATTTCCTCCAACCGTTTCATTAAGCGTTTGCTGTATATCAGCTGTTTTGTTCACCAGTACACATATACGCATACGTGTTCCCCGTACATTGCTTTGGATATTGTTTCCATGTGGATTCATGTTTTCGTGATAAATTGGCTGTCATGTTTGATTGGTAGACTTAACACCTTCATGGTGGTCTGTGTAACCCACAAACATATATTCGTGTAACGTCATGTCCCGAATGGTAATGTTATTTTGGCCCGTTTTTCAGAACATTGTGGGGTGGAGTGGGGTTCTAGTCACACTGAAACTCGACGTGGATGTACATAGAAAATCTGACTGGTTACGTTATTCGATAAGTTACTTGGTGTAAACGTGCACAGTCAGTCCGAGGCTGGTGGATAACACCATTTTTGCGTACAAATAAACCACTATTTCTGCCACCAACATTGTCACCATGACAGTCACGAGACCCATCCTTCCCGCACTCCCCCCGCCCTCCCACCCTTTGAAAAGATGACTGAAAGTAAGTTCACCCACATGACCGTGCGATTCTGCTTTGTCAAGCCCACGCGGAACAATTTTAACGAAGACACCAACAACGGTCGACTGTCAGCATTCGTTAACTTTGGGCGTGTCATGTAGCTAAGACACGGTAGGTTGAAAATTATGATCGTTACAATGAAATAAATTTTTCATTTATGACGAAGAGCTTGATTGAATTTAAGCGTTATTTTAACAGTGGTGTTCGCGGGCAAAAGGAGCACTTCTCGGTCAGGGAATGATTAAACCACGGTGAAAGCAAACTCTTCTCGTCTATCTGTACAACCACGGACTACCACAGACACAGTAACATGTACTTGGATTTTTTCACCATGTCAAGCGCAACTACACAACAAGACAAATTTGCATCACAGATGGCTTTTGGTTCTGTTCTTGTGGTTGAAACATTTATTTTAACCTCATGCTTACAGCAAAGGGGCATCTAATTGTTTCCATTCCCACCGGCGAATGAACCGGAAGAAGGGATTGAACAACTTCTATCCACTTGGAAATATTTTACAGTGCGAGACCTGAGAAGCATGAGATAATATCACAATTGAAATCCGTTTTTTTTTAAAGAGGAGCCGACGGTGATTAGTAGTGAATCAGTAAATTTCTTCAGTTATCCATATTCTGAGCAAAAGTTTTCCACTTCCCAATCAGTGGGCATATTCCGCAATCAGAAGAAAATGACAAAGTGTAGGTAGAGTTGTGTTTTCGGAATCTAATGGAACGCTTTGTCCCGTAAAGGCAGTTTCATTCGTGGGAACTGGGAATAGCTGTTTGGGGGCAAAAATTGGAATATTTCAAGATTACAATGAATACTTAATTCCTTTGGATTATTTTATCTAAGACTATAACAAACTGTAAATGATTATTCGTGTTCAGTTGAAACAATGAATTCTACGTTGAACACACTCATGTACGACCAGTGACAATCAAAGTGGTAAGGATGTCACTTTCAGTGAGTTTGTAAGCATTCTGTACAAACAAATACCGATTGCGTTATTGTCGAGACGCATCATGCTTTGGCACAACTTGTACCATGTATCGCTGAAGTGAGACAGAAACGCTAAAGGAGCAATAAAAATTATTCTGTTCATGTTTAGTGCATTCAATTATTGTTCCAGTGCAAAAGCAAACGTCACAGGCTAGGTTGGGTTCAACTGTTTCGAGTTCTGTCTTCATCAATGTGCACCATTCGAGTAAACGTTCTGTCAGAATAATGAGAAACTTTAGGACACCAAAAACACTGAATTAAGTAACCTTAGTGAGAAGGTCAAAAATCAACGGCCACACTTGTATTGAACAGAAGGGATGAGTGAGCGAACACACTTGTCGATAGAGTTGAACAAACTCTGTCTATACATACCGTTCGCAATTTCCACGGATCAGTACATCATCTATATAACCAACCATAATCTCACTGCTTTGTAGCAAGGAAAAGATACATAAAGATCATCAGCTCAAAGCTGTGGGACTTGGTCGGAAAGGAATACTAGATTGTTTTTTCATCAAGTATGCTTTTTGTATGTTACAAACATTTGTTTAAAACAGAATAAAATCCCGATATTCACTCCGATCCTTGCGGAGTACCATAACGGTAATTTACTTTGAAAAAGATAGTGAACAATTTTGTTCTGATCGAGGAGCACTGTAACTAATGCTTCCTTGAAATGCGTCTGAACTTCTTTCCCTAATTGTCCTTGTGAAATTATTTCCCGTAGATTCAGCTGTAAACAAAATAATGATAGTTTTATACAGTATGAAATTCAATGTTTCAGGTCATAGTGTCCCTATTCATCCGGTGGGTGGTGGTAAGCTTTTCTTGTATTGTCCCTGCTTTCCGTAGTCAATTCGTAAAATAATACTATATGAAATAAATTATCTTTAGGGAAAATAAAATGTTTGTGCGTTGTGAAACAGACAATGAATAAATATTATATTCTAATTCTATCTACACATACAAAGAGAGCCCACCAAGATTGGATCACCAGCAGCTGCTAGAATATACCCTGCCAATAATTGATTATTCTCTCATTTTGTTATATCATCTTAGTAGTCACTCGAATTATAAATTGATTGTTCAATAGTTTCTCTTCATTGAGGCTTCCGAGAAACCAAGAACTATTCAGACCATTTGGTGTAGGTTTATCGAATGAATTGATTCGCAAACTTGAGCAGTTCATTTATTGAAGCCATTGCTAAAACCGAAGGTTGTGCTGTGTTGATTACAAGTATTACCCAGCCCACAAAGTTTGCTATCTTCGATCCGAGTATTTTGTGATTACATCTATTTCATTTTGATAGATTCTAGTAGGATAATTAGAAAATACGCAGACTTATTCATTCACCCATCATCACCAATGTTTCTATCACTGTGATTGAGGACAGACACTAGATAATGGTCACGCAGCGGTAAACATGAAATAATAATTTATGGGGTCGCATCATAAGGAAAACAATAAGGGACATTAAGTACCGGGTGAAATAAAGGAAGTACATTGGCAGTCAAACGTACAATTATGAAAGTGATATTGAAAATGAATGTTACAGGAGTTCTGGTTAGTCTCGTAACTGACTGTAAATTTTTCATTAAATTCACAATCATTTGGGTGTCTTGAATTTAGCAGAACGAAAGAACGGGAAGTTTCAGACAATGACAAATTTCAAATCATGTTCGTAAAAAGTTAACACAAACTTTACCCGGAAATATAGGTTAAAATTCATTGACGAAATCGTCTCGACTGCACCACTTTCAGCTTATCACAAACCTTACCATTTTTAAGTTACCGTGGATTTTTGAAATAGACGACTCATCAAAACAGTACGTTTCGGTAAACCAAGATATCTGCGAGAAGAAGGAGATAATTCCTTGAACACTTCCCAATTCGGTAATTTGAACCGCGGTTTCAAAGAAAATAGTAAATTCCAACATACATACACAATCATTTGGTCCAGTTATATATTGATTGGCGTTCGTACAACCCTTAAAGAACAAGGCGATGTTTGCTATTCCAAAATGGTTGCAATGGAAGCATTTTTTGGAACAGTTGTTAAAACAATATTTAAAAGGCATGGGTTAAGATAACGTCTTTGGGGAATTCGTAGTAGTATCTTAGTAGTATCCGCGAGATCAATGGTTCTAGTTTGTTGAAGTCATAGCATCGTAATTCCATTTTCCGCGGAAAACCAAACACCTTTTAGCCAAAATAGTATAGGAAAACCCAGAGAAATCGATTTACAGTGATTTCTATATTGTCTGTATTGTACGATATGACGGATATGTCACGTTCAACAATGCAAACTGATGTATTTAAAAAAATACCTTGAGAGTTATTATGTACAAAAAGAAATGAATGTGGCGGCGTACTTGGAGTATATGCCTTCTGGATTACAAATACAGTGTGTTGCATAATCTTTTTCAAGATGATATGGATTCTTGGGAATTGTTGTGTGAATTTGGTGTGACTCGGTTCATCCTGAGATCAGGAATTCACAACAAAAGACACACTTCATTCACTTTTGTTTTAACAGCTTTCATTATCTCCAGGCAACTGATCGAATTTTTCCGACAAGTTCCAACTNCCAATTGCACTTGTTATGAGTTCGGCACTTATTCATGCGGATTTGAGGAGAAGTGGCAGTGTCAGACTAAGACAGCCGGCCATTTGATCGTTTTCATCTTCCAATTTGAGGGATAAGTGTATATTCATCTCCTGTGAAGGGGAAGAAAAGTTGGGGGCGCACAGAATAAAAGAAAACGAGATGTTTTATTTAGACTGAACAAACAGGTAATCCAAAATAAGACATCTCGTTTTCTTTTATTCTGTGCGCCCGGAACTTCCTTGGAACGCACTGAAAAAACTTTCGGGTTAAATGTTGTCTGCAGTATAATATTATGAAAAGTAATATCAAGTTTGATTCCCGTTTTAATAAAGAATTTGCAAACGTTCTATCATATTCGTAAAACAGTACCAATAAACCACATTTGTGAAATTGTAACATTGTAATATATTTTGTCCAGCGATATACGTAAGCTGCTTTGTTATTCATTCGTTCACCGGTTATCTTCATTATTTATTTTCCGTTTTCCTCCAAGTATGAAAAGCCAGGTTGGAACTGTTTCCGATTCCTACCTTTTTCCATGTTTTTCCTCAATTCAGTTACTTGATTTTTATTGGTTTCACTTATTTTGTTTGTTAAGTATAGAAATATATCACAAATGTTTAGGAATGGTCCGCGG